GTGTGTAGCTCACATAGATTTTAATCTTAAATGTTCTATTTTCTTTATCTTACAAAAGAGAAAATGTGGTTTGGAAGTATTAAGTCACTTGCCTGAGGCCACCCTACTAATAGGTGACAGGGTCAAGATTCAACTCATCCGACCTCCCCAGAGCTGGAGCTTCTTGTGCTGCACTGCCTGTGCCCCTCCTGTCTCTCTGCCCCTGGGCATCTCTGTATGAGCTGAAATGAGAAGGAAGAGCATCATCTTGGTGCACCCCTGCTGGAAACAAGTGCGTGGGTGACTTGTATTATTTGCTAATCTGTGCATGTCTGAGAGTGACTGCAAAAGCACCAGAGGTTGCAAATCAATTTTAGCTAGTAGCTGAATTTGCAAATACAGAATCTGTGAATAATGAGGATTGACTACCATGCTGATACTAATCAAAAGAAATGTGGTTTGGTCATATTAATATAAAACCAAGTAGAATTCAGAACAGAGAATGTTATTACTAAAAAAAAAAGTTAATTTTACAATGGTAAAAGAGTTGGTTCATCAAAGGGACTAAATATTTATGCTTCAAATAACAGAGCCTCAAATAAATAAGCAATTATTGATAGAGCTGTAGGGAGATATAAACAGATAAACCTGCAATTGCAGTCAGAGGTTGCAATACTTCTTTCAATAATGGATACAAGCATATTATTGGTAAGAACATAGAACATTAGAACAACACATAACCAACTTGACTAAATTGACATTTACGGGATACTCCACCAAACAGCAAAATACACCCTTCTTCAGGTGCACATATTTACCAGATAGACCATATTCTGGGCCATAATATTTAAACCTCAAATTTTAAAAATTTAAAGTCACTCAAACTATATTTTCTGACTACAATAAAGTTTAATTAGAAATTAATAACACAAAGATATCTCCAAATATTTGAAAACTAAATGGCATACTTCAAAATTACCCAGGGATCAAAAGGAAATCAAAGTAGTAATAGAGAGCATTTTGAAGTAGATGGAAATAAAAACACACCATATCAAAATTTGGAAATTTATATCACTAAATATCTATATTAGAAAAAGAAAAAAAAATCTTAAATCAATTACCTGTTTCACTTTAAGAAACTAGAATAAAAAACAAAGAAAAATATCTTTCTGCCAATAAACTCAACAAATTAGGCAAATAAATAAATTCCTTTAAATACACAAATTAATAAACTTAAAAGAAGTTAATAATCTTATAGGCCAATCCTTATTACAGAAATTGAATTAGTTAAAAACCTTCCATAAAGAAATCTTCAGGCCTAAGTGGCTTTATTGGTGAAATATACCTAATGGTCAAGGAAGAAATTTTAACAATTCTTTGGGAACTCTTCCAGAAAATTGAAGAAAAAAAGAAAAAGAAAATATTTCCTAACTCTATCTGTAAGGCTAGCATTACCCTCATACTAAAAGCAGACAAAGACATTAAAATAAAACTATAGACCAGTGGTCGGCAAACTGCGGCTCACGAGCCACATGCAGTTCTTTCGCCCCTTGAGTGTGGCTCTTCCACAAAATACCACGTGCGGGCGCACATGTACAGTGCGATTGAAACTTCATGGCCCATGCGCAGAAGTCGGTATTTTGTGGAAGAGCCACACTCAAGGGGCCAAAGAGCCGCATGTGGCTTGCAAGCCACAGTTTGCCGACCACTGCTAGACCAATATTACTCATAATCATAAACAAATTCTAAACAATTTTAACAAGTAAAATACAGCAATAAACAAAAAGGATACTAATACAACATGACCAAGTAGGATTTATCCCAGGAATACAGGGTTTAATTGATATAATTCACTTATTAATAAACTAAAAGAGAAAAATAACATGGTCAGTCAAATAGATGTGGGTTGGGGGAAGATTTGACCAAATTTGTCATCCATTCCTAATAAAAACTCTCATAAAATGAGAAAACAGAAGTGAACTTCTTCAACTTGATAAAGGGCATCTATGAAAGCCCACAGCTAGCATTTAACTTGTTGTGAAAGGCTGAGAACTTGTCCCTGAGAGCAGGATCGAGACAAGGATGCCCACTCTGGACATTTCTACTCAATATTGTATTATAACTTCTAACCCAAGAGGTTAGTAATGAGAAAGAAGTAAACGGCATACAGATTGGAAAGGAGGGAGCTAAACTATCTCAGTTTGCAGGGTACATTATCATATAGAGAGAACCCTAAGAAATACACACACACATACACACACACACAGCTTTTTTTTTTTTTTTTTTTTTGCTTTTTTTTGGTAACAGATGAGTTAAGCAAGGTGCAGGGCACAAATTAATACACAAAAACCAATTGTATTTTTACATACTAGTAGTGAATAGTTGAAATTGACATTTAAAAAATAACAATAGCAATTTTATAGCATCAAAAATATAATATACTTAGGGACAAATGTGGTCAAAGATGAGGACGAACTATACACTGAAAACTACAGTATTGCTAAGAGAAATTGAAGAATACCTAAATAAGTAGAGAGATGACTGAGAATATTCGCAAGTGAGAAGACTTAATATATTAAAGTGTTTATTCTCCCAAAATTGACCTGTAGATTCAATCAAATACCAATCAAGACCCCACCCAACTTTTTAATAGGAATTGACAGTCTAGATCTCAAATTCTAGACTCTTCTAGATCATGCAAAGGACCTAGAAGAGTAAAAGACAACCTTGAAAAGAGCAACAAATTTGAAAGGCTAACACTGATTTCAAGACATTATAAAACTATAATAATCAAGACAGTGTGATATTGTTGTAAAGGCAAACAACTAGATCAATGGATTCTTTTTCTAAAAATAGATGGAGCCATAACTGGTGTTTTCCAGATAATATTTGATGGATTGATCGAGTAAGACACCATATTTCTGTGGAATGAGAAGTGGCGGGATGACCCCTGGATAGTATGGAAGAATGAGTTTATGTAGAACTCCCCTACTTTCTCTGTTCTAAACACAGAGAGTTTGCTTGTTTGTTTTTAAAACTTTTTAAAAGTCAACTCTATGGATGTAAACAAAGTGGAACACACAACAGCAGGTGGGGTTCAAGTGCTGGCCTACAGGCTCCAGGGTGGAAAACGGGTGGTGTGAGCTGACTTTCAACACCTGCAAGAGCGTATGGGCAGGAGCTCGAGGCAAGTATCAGGGGACCAGACCCAACCTCTCCTGGGGGCATGTGCAATACTGAGCGCTGTGGAAGGTGTGGAGAGAAGAGAGTTCCACCTGAGCACAGAGCTGAGTGTGGCTCTGGCCTGAGGACTAGGTCTTCACATCCCTGGGAGACCAGAACTCAAGTGATCCGGTTACACTGGTTCTGAGAGGAGGCCCCAGAGGTCCATGTAGAAGAGCGACAAGACTGCAGACCCAGAGAAGTAAACCAGGGCAGAAACAACAGCAATAAGACACCCCTGCTCAGATGAACTAAAATCTCAGGGCTGGGACTGCTAATGCATAAAGGATAGCCAGTAAACTTAAGAAATGAGAGGGAAATAAAAGAGAAATCTAAAGAAGTCACTGATGTCAGTATATTTAAAATCCTCCAAAAGGAAATAGAAGAAATAGCATCCACCCTCTAAAAAAAAGAAGAAGACAGGGTGGTGAAGAAAAAAAGAGATGGATAGATATGAATCAGAAATTGTTTGATACGAAAAAGAAGCAACTTGAAATTTTGGAAAGAAAAAATATATTTATTTAATTACAAAACTCCATGGTGACATAAACTCTAGACTAGACTCAGTTGCAGATAGAAATTCGTGACACTGGAAAGCCATACAAAGGAATTTATCTGCTGATACCGTCCTTATTTTGTAGTGTTTTAGTAAGGAGATGCGCAGTCAGGTGGAAGCTAGCCAGAGGTGGAGGCGAGCTGTGCCAGGGCTCAGCAGAAGAACCGGAAGCCACCCTACAGGGTTTTTAGGACCCAAGTGCCATTGCCCTTCCCTGGCTGAGCTGTCACCTCCCGTTACAGGCTGCTGAGCTGGGCTGAAGTCCAGGCAGCAGGGGAGAGGCAGATAAATGACGGATTACCTCAGGGGGATTAAGCGACCGCAGTGGCTTCATCGATCTGCATCATTGTCTAACCTGGTCTTTCTTTGAAAGGAGGAGCCACATTGAGGAAGGATCCAAAGCCATCCCAAATTCTGAGTAGTTTTTTAAAGCCATAAATAAGCCTTCCTCTATCTCACCTCCTGGAAAGAGAGGATGGGCTGCTAGCACACTGTCAGAGGAAGGGGTTGCTTGTGCGGGGAGCCGGGCAGGTGTCTGAGTGTGCGCTTTGTCCAAGGTGGGGGCTGAGAGCATGGCTTCGTTGCTTGTATATTTCCATGTTGCCGAGGCCATGCATGCCACAAAGTCTGGCACTGGAACACTGCGGCAGTGTGGCATCCCTCTTCTCTGGTTGACAAGGCCAACACACCGGAAGTGAGCAGTGCAGCATTAGAGGGACACTTGGTGTGAAGTGATGTCGGCTACCACCCACGAAGTCTCTTTTTAGGCCAGACCCACCTGCCTAGAACTCTGTCCCTATGGTGTGGCCCATTCTCTCCCCTAGTTGTTTCTGTAATTAGTAAGGAAACGGTTCTTCAAAATTACTAACGCAAGCTGTAGTAGGATTCATTTTAACATGGCTCTGTGTTTGGAAGGAACTCTATTTTTCTTTAAAGTCCTAGGTCTTTTTAAAATATATATATTTTTATTGATTTCAGAGAGGAAGGGAGAGGGAGAGAGAGATAGAAACATCGATGATGAGTGAGAATCATTGATTGCCTGCTTCCTGCATGCCCCCTACTGGGGATCAAGCCCACAACCTGTGCATGTGCCCTGATCCGGGAATCAAACCATAACCTCCTGGTTCATAGTCTCAGTTGTACAGAGACTGGGCAGATTGTCTCAGGAAAGAGTCTATTGCAATTGCATGGCAGGTTTCAAACTAAACTTTCTACTCACTGTTTCTCCCACCCTGTGCTCCAGCTGCCCTCTCCTCTGCTCAGGCTCAGGACCAACCAACCACCATGGTGTCACCCCTGTGCACCCAGAACTCCCCGTCCTGCCTGCCCACTGCCAGCCTCAGGCCCCACTCCATGGTGTCCCTGCAGCACCTCCACCAGCCCCCAGTGCAGACCATCACTGGTGCCCAGTGCCCCTGGCCAGCCATCCCTCTCACGTCAGCGGCATCAGCCGTCACACCTCCCAATGTCACTGCTGCCAACCTCAATGGGGAGGCCGGAGTGGGGACCGTCAGTGGCCTGTCTACTTCCAGCCCCACCAACGTGGGATGCAAACCAGATGAGAAGAAAACTGAAAAGGTAAGCAGCTCAAACTGGGTGAGCTGGTTATTGTAACTCTTGGGCACCAGACACCAAAGACATTTTGTGCAATTAAGGCTTTAAGGTGGGCACCAGGCACATGGCAGACAGGGAGGCCAGACCAGCAAACAGTTGGTTGTCACAGTGGAATCTAGGCAGGCCACAGGTCCAACTAACTGAGCCCAACTACCATTTTTATGCAAATCAGAAAAATGTGTTTCTCCTCAAGATGTGTTCAGCCATCTATTGGAAAATCATTGTGCTATCCTCATTTTGTTAGAACAATACTCTTCTTGCCATGCACCAGGATATCCTATATAATAAAGCGGTAGTATGCAAATTAACCCTCATGCCCTCACAAGGTGGCTGCCAATGACCAAGCTGGGGGGCGGGGCAGTTTGGGGCAATTAGGCTGGCAGGGGGCAGTGAGTGGCAATTAGGCTGGTGTGGGGGACAGTTGGGGTCAACCAGGCTCGCAGAGGGGGGCAGTTGGGGGCAATCAGGCCAGCACACAGAAGCAGTGAGGGGCAACTAGGCTGGTGTGGGGGGGCAGTTGGGGGCGGCCAGGCTGGCAGAGGGGGGTAGTTGCGGGTGACCTGGCCAGTGAGGGGGCAGTTAGGGGTGATCAGGACAGCACGCAGAGGCAGTGAGGGGCAACCAGACAGGCAGGCAGGTGAGCAATTAGGAGCCAGTGGTCCAGGATTGTGAGAGGTATGTCCTGATTGGAGAGTGTGCAGGCTGGGCTGAGGGGAGCCCCCTCCCCCCCACACACGAATTTTGTGCACTGGGCCTCTAGTTATAACAGAATACACAAACCCACTTTTGTGGCAGCTATGCCTTCCCTATGTCATCCCTGAGCAGGCACCACTGCTCAGGCTCACTGCTCAGGCCCACTTTCTGTGGAGAAACGGGAGCAGGATGCCAGCCTGAGTTGGTATGGGTGGCATTGCTAACTCTTCTTTTAACTGTGAAGGAAGTAGGCTTATTTCACAAAATAAATCTGATTCCAATGAGCTTGCCTCAGTTGCCACCCATCCAGACACTGGATCAACCAGGATTACACTCCAGGTTTCTAAATCAATGCTGTCCAATTAATTTATTTCAAGGCACATATCTAATGTGAAATCTCCTAGTAGCCACCTTTTTAAAAAGTTAAAATAATTTTAAAATAAAATTAAAACATTAATTTTATTAGTATAATCTATTAACCCCCATATCCAAATATATTATCATTTTAACATGTAATCTATATTAGAAACTTGTTGGTGATGTTTTACCTTTCTTCAGCCAGTGAGACAGCCCTGGTGCTCAGGGGCCACCGCCTGCCTAGCGGCTCCTTGGAGTGTGGGCCTAGGTCCACAACAGGGACCCACTCTCTTTATCGGCCTTGTTGTATGAAAGGTTTATGCTCATTTCCTCTCATCTTGACACATTCTGCAAATATTTTAAAACCTTTCCATGTAAAATCAGTCTTCTGAATGGAATTTGCTAGCTAGGGCTTGGATGAGATCCTCAACCCTGGATTGTGTATTCAAAGGGAGGCCAGCCTCTCTGCTTTTAGGAACCATACCTAAGCCAGGCTGACTGCTCAGTCCATCAGCCTAGGAGCCCCTGGAGGCACACCCACCAGCCAGCACCCTGTGGATGTGGGAGTCCAGGAACCGCCAGAGATGCCCACACCAGACTCTTCAGGGCCTCACCGATGCTCAGGTCTGATCACAACCTGTCTTGTTCAGGCCAGAGGAAAGCAGTTCCTGTGTAGCTGGTGTGGAGGAGGCCTTGGTCACAGCTGCTCCTGCCGAGCTCTCAGCTCTCAAAGCTCAAATCCCGGATATTAATAGGATGTGAAGTGTGAAGTGGTTGCACTGCCCTTTGTGTTCATGTTTGAAAGTCACTTGGGTCTTGATCTGCTCCCTTCCACCTGCAGCCTTCTGAGGAGACGTGCTGGGCCTTTCAGCTGGCAGAGGTGGGGGTGGTCCCACCCTCTCACTAGGACACCTTTCCTGGAAGACAAGATCCCCTCAGCCCCCAATGCTGAGAAAGAACAGGGGACAGGCTTAGAAAGGGAAGAGCCATAATTGCTGTCAACATTTCTGGTTCTTCGCCCCAGTTCCCTCTCTCCAGTTAGTGAAACAGGGCTGACTTCATTCCGTGTGGTTCATTGCTGGGCAGGGTCAGGCTTGTAGGAATCGACATGGTGAGTGATATTACTCACCACCTTTGCCCTCTTAAGTGTGTCGCTAATGAAAATCAACATTGTGTCGGTTTTGACAGGCCCACGTTGTTAGACACTTAGTAGGTGTTTTGCTTTCACCCAAGGCTTGCTCTCTGCTAACAGTTCTCCTATGCCAGGAAGGAGCAGTTGAGTCCAGGGTCCCTCTTAATGAAAGGCTCCTCGGATGAAAGTCCTGCTCCCACATGGAAAGCAGCTTAGCCCAGATGACTCCCCAGGTTGGGCCTGGCAGTGGAAATGCACAGGCCCGCAGCAGTCCATACCTGGCCATGCTTGTGGCTGGGCACAGACTCCTCGAGGCACAGGAAGCAGTTTATGATTTGTTCCCAAGTAATGGAGTCTGGGAGGTGTGCCATCTTCCTCCATGGACAGATGGGTAAGTCAGAGGTGTGGGCCCTGGACTGGGCCTACTTGCAAAACTCAGTTCACCTGGATTCTGACACCCCAGCTTCTTTCAAATTCCATCCTCTTCTGATCATCTTCATGTGATAACAACCACACAGGACCTCAAGATGGTGGCTCCTTAGAGAAATTCAGGAGCAATTACCAAATTAAGATTGGACATGGATGGAGGCCCAAATCACGACCCTTATTCAGGGAGGTGCCGCCTGGCAGGGTCTGGCTGCTCCCAGCAGGGCAGTGGCAGGAAAGGGCCTGGCCAGCTGCCACATACACCTGCGCCTCTGAGGTCCCCAAGCTGGGTGTGCACCTCACATTTCCGGGAAGCACTCTGTCTTAAGAAGCACAGAAATGAGGAAGAGAATCCAAAGCATCCCACGGAGCTGTGGGCTGCCTGTCAGTGCCTGGCATGCTGTCACCCCACCGTGTGCTAATGGAACTAATAGCTTCAATTATAACTGAGCCCCAGAAATCTGGCATCCCCTGATGAAGCAGACTGCTCCCCTGTGTGCCACTCACAGACCTGCTGCTGCCCTTCCGGTGGATGAAGTGGATTCTATCCATCTGTTTTGTGTTTAAAATTCAGAAGTACCTGAGCTCAGCATACCTGAGTGAATAATAAAGTGTTTAATCTTTCTTGTTCCATTCCAGACGTTCTTCAGAAGGGTGCCAGATTTTACAAAAACGTTATCTGAATGCATTTTATGTAATCTGATTTGTGGTAGCACTGTGTTTGTTCTGCAGAAATGCCAGAGGCCTGTTGGAAATCCAAATACAAGGCAAAGTTATCCAAATGTGACAAAGTGATTGCACAGCCCAGACCCCTAGGAGGGAGCAGGGCTGCCCAGGCTTCTTGTTTCTGCCCTTCTGCTGTTTGACCTAATCTCCTGTGAAGCACTTTTAAAGGAATTAATGTTATGCTATAAATACTACTGGGTTAGCAGAGTCTTCCGACTTCAATGAAAAGATGACAGCATTGAGCTGAGATTGCAAGAGAACAGGGTCACACATTTCTACAGCTTCTTGGGTGCTGAGTCCAAAAAAATTTCTGGAGAATTGAAACCTCAGCACTTTTATCCTCCCTCATTGAACAACATTAGCCCCAGTTAACCATGCATCAGCCCTAGGATAGTAGCCTAGGAAAGACAGCTTCTCTCCTGGAAGCCATGGGAGTGCCACCAAGGCCTGGTCTGCTCCCCATTCTGTGTCCGGACTCCTCTGAGGACTTGAAGATGAGACCTGTCCCTGCTGGGGCCTCTCTTTGGAGGAGGAGCAGCTGCTCACTGGCCACTTGTCAGGTGTGGGCTGGCATCACACTCAGAACATGATGATGGCAAGACTGAGAGAGACCCTCAGGGAGAAGCTGTCACTGACAGTGACAAAAGGGCCCACGTGGGGCTCTGAGCCAGCTGAGCAGAGTCTTTCAGAGGGAAATGAGCATCATGATCAGAGGCAGCGTCTTGTGCAAGCAATTAAAAAAAATTTATTGATTGATTTTTTGAGAGAGTAACATTACTTTGATGTTCCACTTATGCATTCGCTGGTTGTTTCTTGTATGTGCCCTGACCGGGGATTGAACCCACAATCTTGATGTATAGGGGCAACATTCCAACCAATTGAGCTAGCCGGCCAGGGTTTGGTCAAGTCATTTAAATGTTATTTATGCCTCATGGCCTTGTCAAGTTCCACACTTCCACCTCTGTGGCTCTTGCTGTTTGTTTCATTCCTTTTCTTTTCCTCAGCTCCCATGAAGCAGTCTAGCTGTCTCTCTGATACATTCGAGCTTGCATAGTTTGGATTTCCCGGGCTGTTGTCTGCCTCACAACCCAGTTATGCCTTAAAATCAGGATGGGGCCTTCTAGTTTCTGAACTCCCCATCTGTGGGAAATGTGATCTGTTGGTTTTTACAAGCCAGCTATTTGGTTTGATTGGTTATCTAGAAGTCTTAATGCTTCCAGTAAGAATATATTGAAGTTCAGTGTTTGGCATCTCACAGAATTCTTCTCATCAATTATTTGAATGCCTGATTTGCCTCTCAGTCATACATGTTTCCAACATTTCTGTAACTGTTTTCATAGAAATATTTTGGAATGTGCTTTCATGTTTCCATCTCACATTTGTTTATCAAAAATACAGTGCGAATGTATGTCTATGTGTTTGTATGTGTGTATGTGTGTGCATGTATGTATGTGTGTGTTGTGTGTGTGTTGTGTGTGTGTTGTGTGTGTGTGTGTGTGTGTGTGTGTGTGTGTGTGTGTGAAGCTCATGGAAGATCTTTGTCCTCTGACATGCCATCACAGCCTGTGGGAAGGGCGGGCTCAGTGATGAGCAGAAAATAACCCTCCTCCATCCCTGCACTCATTAACCA